TTGGGTTAATATTAGGGCAGAACACATGTTGGTGTTAATTTTACCAGCAAATTGGGTTATTTAACACAGCATAATGGGTTGATTTGACTCAGCATATTGGGTTGATTAATTTTTTACTAAAGTTCTAGCTTTTTTTATTATTTTACTTCATACATAAATTAACGTTTTCGGTTTAACTTCGGTTTGACTCGAATCGACGATGGGTTGATGCCCCTGTATGTTGCTTTGGATAAAATTAAACGATATATACAGAACAATAATGAGTTTGTAGATACAAAAAATACCAATTTGACGGAGCTGCAGTGCTCTCTCCTCAAGACGTCACAGAAAGCCTGCGAAAAATAACTCAAGCCCTGGGTTGTTATATCTGACCCAGGAGCTGGGTTACACAAAAACTACCTAAACACTGAAAAAATAACCCCAAAAAATTGATCCAAAAGGTTGGGTAGAAAAAAAATGATACTCACTCCATCTCTCTCAGCGCAAAGACCATCAGGAACACGGCGTCTGTGAACCTGGAGCTGACCGCAGAACAGTGGAAGAGGAAATATGAGAAAGAGAAGGAGAAGAACAAGAACCTGAAGGAGAACATCCAGAGGCTGGAGGCGGAGCTTAACCGCGGGCGTGACGGTGAGAACACACACACACACACACCTGATTTCTGTTATTGATTTACACTGGTGACATGGTGGTAGATTCATCAGACATATTTATCATAGTAATGCATGGGGTTTGATAAAATCATTGTAAAACTATTTATTTGATAATATTGATATAATTACAATACTGGTGTGACTAAATATATATATATTAGCCTTTAAAAAATTGCCAGTTTATTATAGTACCTGTTTTAACAAACATAATTTTAAATAAATTAAATATTATTAAATAATGGTTGTGCGTCAGGGGAGTGTGTGTCAGCGCTGGATCTCATGGCTGAGGAGTCTGATGTCAGTGAAGACAACCGGAGCATCAGTGTATGTGTGTTAACCCCAGAGGAACACAAGCCCAAATATGAGGAGGAGATACGCAAACTCTACAAACAACTGGACGACAAGGTGTGAGCAGAACACACACACACACTCACAGACACAAACATACAAACACACACACACAAACACTCTCAGACACACAAACTCCGACAAACAAAAATACACCCACTGACACACAAACAAAAACACAAACACACAAGCTCACAGACACACAAACTCAAACACATACTGAAACTCACAGACACACAAACTCACAAACAAAAAACGCACAAACTCACACAGCCTGTAGTCAATGCATGGAAAAATCGGCTTTCTGATTGATTTTTCCTCTCTCTCTGACAGGATGATGAGATTAATTTACAGTGTCAGCTGGTGGAAAAACTGAAGGAGCAAATGCTGGATCAAGAAGAGGTTAAAGACATTTACTGAATTCCAAATAGCTATTCCTGTCACATCATTATATTATATGTTATATGGCAAAAAAAAACATTCACTGGAATACTATACTGCATTCTTGACTTAATATACGGCATACTGTGGTTAACTTTACTTCAATGGTTCAAACATTCGATGGTTCAACATAACATTCAAAAGTGATGATCAAAGAACATTCTAAAGGAACAATCAGAGAACATTCAAAAGTAACAATCAGAGAACATTCAAAAGTAACAATCAGAGAACATTCAAAAGTAACAATCAGAGAACATTCAAAAGTGATGATCAAAGAACATTCTAAAGGAACAATCAGAGAACATTCAAAAGTAACAATCAGAGAACATTCAAAAGTAACAATCAGAGAACATTCAAAAGTGATGATCAAAGAACATTCTAAAGGAACAATCAGAGAACATTCAAAGTAACAATCAGAGAATACGTTCTAAAGTAACGTAGAGAACATTCAAAAGTAACAATCAGAGAACATTCAAAAGTAGCAATCAGAGAACATTCAAAAGTAACAATCAGAGAACATTCAAAAGTGATGATCAAAGAACATTCTAAAGGAACAATCAGAGAACATTCAAAAGTAACAATCAGAGAATACGTTCTAAAGTAACGTAGAGAACATTCAAAAGTAACAATCAGAGAACATTCAAAAGTAACAATCAGAGAACGTTCTAAAGTAACAATCAGAGAACATTCAAAAGCAACAATCAGAGAACATTCAAAAGTAACGATCAGAGAACATTCAAAAGTAACAATCAGAGAACGTTCAAAAGTAGCAATCAGAGAACATTCAAAAGTAACAATCAGAGAACATTCAAAAGTAACAATCAGAGAACGTTCAAAAGTAGCAATCAGAGAACATTCAAAAGTAACAATCAGAGAACATTCAAAAGTAACAATCAGAGAACATTCAAAAGTAACAATCAGAGAACATTCAAAAGTAACAATCAGAGAACATTCAAAAGTAACAATCAGAGAACATTAAAAAGTAACAATCAGAGAACATTCAAAAGTAACAATCAGAGAACATTCAAAAGTAACAATCAGAGAACATTCAAAAGTAACAATCAGAGAACATTCAAAAGTAACAATCAGAGAACATTAAAAGTAACAATCAGAGAACATTCAAAAGTAACAATCAGAGAACATTCAAAAGTAACAATCAGAGAACATTCAAAAGTAACAATCAGAGAACATTCAAAAGTAACAATCAGAGAACATTAAAAAGTAACAATCAGAGAACATTAAAAAGTAACAATCAGAGAACATTCAAAAGTAACAATCAGAGAACATTCAAAAGTAACAATCAGAGAACGTTCAAAAGTAACAATCAGAGAACGTTCAAAAGTAACAATCAGAGAACATTCAAAAGTAACAATCAGAGAACATTCAAAAGTAACAATCAGAGAACATTCAAAAGTAACAATCAGAGAACGTTCAAAAGTAGCAATCAGAGAACATTCAAAAGTAACAATCAGAGAACATTCAAAAGTAACAATCAGAGAACATTCAAAAGTAACAATCAGAGAACATTCAAAAGTAACAATCAGAGAACATTCAAAAGTAACAATCAGAGAACATTCAAAAGTAACAATCAGAGAACGTTCTAAAGTAACAATCAGAGAACATTCAAAAGTAACAATCAGATAACGTTCTAAAGTAACAATCAGAGAACATTCAAAAGTAACGATCAGAGAACATTCAAAAGTAACGATCAGAGAACATTCAAAAGTAACAATCAGAGAACATTCAAAAGTAACAATCAGAGAACGTTCAAAAGTAACAATCAGAGAACATTCAAAAGTAACAATCAGAGAACATTCAAAAGTAACAATCAGAGAACATTCAAAAGTAACGATCAGAGAACATTCAAAAGTAACATTCAGACTCAGAGAACATTCAAAAGTAACGTTCAGAGAACATTCAAAAGTAACGATCAGAGAACATTCAAAAGTAACGTTCAGAGAACATTCAAAAGTAACGATCAGAGAACATTCAAAAGTAACGTTCAGAGAACATTCAAAAGTAACAATCAGAGAACGTTCAAAAGTAACAATCAGAGAACATTCAAAAGTAACGTTCAGAGAATATTCAAAAGTAACGTTTATAGAACATTAGCAAAAAAAAAATTATTAGCAGAGCAGAACGAGCGTTCTATTACTGTTACTGGAAGAACCTTGCCAGAACATTTACATAAATGCATTTTGGCAGAATGTTATCCAACGCTCTTAGAACGTTCCCTGTTAGCCGAGCTGGGATATTCCCAAAATGCCCACCGCATGAAGCTGGAAGATGAAGATAAAACAGCATTGAGGATGATTTCAGTCTTGTGTAAAATAGGTCAGCAGAAAAAACTCTCTGTTCCTGCTGTGTCTGTGTGTCTGTGTGTGTGTGTGTCTGTGTGTGTGTGTGTGTGTGTGTGTGTGTGTGTGTGTGCGCAGCTGCTGGCCTCGTCACGCGGGGACTGTGAGCGTGTGCAGTGTGAGCTGACTCGACTGCAGGCTGAGAGTGAGAGTGCGAAGGCCGAGGTGAAGGAGGTTCTGCAGGCGCTGGAGGAACTGGCTCTGAGCTACGACATGAAGAGTCAGGAGAACCAAGACACGAGCGCTCAGAACCGACGACTGACCGAGGAGCTGTCACACAAAACCGTACGACAAACACAATCTCTTAAAACCAATCTCTTGAGGCCCGTTCACAGTTAGAACAATAACTATAGTCGTGTCGAGGCACCTTCATTTATATGGCACTGATAATAGGAACTTAAAGTAACAGAGATAGTTTAGGCTTTACAGCAGCTCTAGAATAAAGTTAGAGTCCAGATAAAGATCATTAGTTATTAACTCAGGGGCCGCTAACTCGACACGATTAACTGAGAACAGAAACTTTAATGTGTTCTGGACGCTTATTTGCACGATCACAGTGTTTGGTGAATGAGAACACGCACTTTGAAACAAGGTACAAGTGTGAAAAACATGATCATCTCTGTGTAAACTCCAAAAACGTGAATCTGTGAAACACACACACACACACACACACACACATTAACCAGACTCCTAAACCCACCCATCTCACACACACAGAAAACTTTACATTTTTACATAAAAAAAAAGGAATTCCGGATTAAATTCTCTGTCTTCCTCTCAGTCGGATCTCGTGTGTTTGGAGGCGGAGTTTTCCCGGCTACAGGAAGTGAACGCCCAGCACAGGAAACGCATCACTGAGGTGATGAACACCCTCATGAAGGATCTCAACGACTTCAGCTTCATACTGGGAGACTGTGACCTCAGACTGGTGAGCGAGTGTGTGAACCCAACGCATGAGGTCTTCACAGTTAAAGGTGCAGTGTGTGGTTTCGAGCGGCCTCTAGTGGTGAGGTGGTGAATTGCACCCAACAGAAGTTACGGTGGCTGTCAGGAAGTGATGTCGAACAATCAGGATTCTTTACAAATATACATTAAGAAATTATGTTTACTTAGAAAATTCTGTAAAACGGTATTTTATTGCGAATATTACTGTAACTTGTTCATCACTGTGTCGGTGTTTAATTCGCCGACTTTAGTTTCACTTCTTAGCATGAAGAACAACACCGTGACGAAACGCGTTTGTCCGCTCAGGGCCACCGTAGAAACGTGATGTGAGCGGACCCGCGGTGTGTGTAGAGACAAACGCCTCAACACATAACGCACACAGAGTTATGGATATGATATTGCAATTCTCCTAAATATTACACACTGCACCTTTAAAACACACTTTATGGCTGAAACTCTAACTTGCTTTTTCTAACTCATTTAAATTGGTTTCTATTATTGGCATGACAAAACTGTATATTTGCATTACCAAAGTTGGGCAAAAGAAAAAAGACTTTACTGCAAATGTATTAAACGTAGAACTTACAGGATAATAGATGAAAACAACATGATATATTTTATACAAATATAATATTATATTTTATAAAAATACATACACCACCAGTGAAAAGTTTTTGATCAGTAAGATTTTTTATGTGTTCTCTTCTGCTCACCAAGGCTGAATTTATTTGATCAAGAATACAGAAAAAATTGTGAAATATTATTCTAATGTAAATCGTCTGTTCTCTATGTGAATATACAGTAAAGTGTAATTTATTCCTGTGATTTTCAGCATCATTACTCCAGTCTTCAGTGTCACATGATCCTTCAGAAATCACTCTAATATGAGGATCTGATGATCAAGACACATTTATGATTATTATCGGTGTTGAAAACAGTCAGGATACTTTGATGAATAGAAAGTTGAAAAGAACAGCACTTATTTTAAATAGAATCTTTTGTAAAGTATATTACTGTTTATATATTAAAAATATTACTATTTTTTATTTTTACCAGTCTTGGTGAGATTTCTTTAAAAAAAAATATATACCCATCAAAAACTTTTGACTGGTAGTGTATATAAAGATAACAAAAACACAAAAATGACCAGTAAAAATTTAAATGAAACATTAGGAATTAAAATAAATAAATAAAAAGTAAAAATACATATATAAAGATAATAAAGACAAGTAAGAAAAGGATTAAATTGAGGCGTATGAGGTGAAGGTGGGTTGTGTGTGTCCTCAGCCGTGTGACGTGTCGTGTGTGTTGGAGGAGGAATACGCCGTGGTTCGAGTGTTTGTGAGTAAAGTGAAGTCTGAGCTGAAGTCTGTGGTGAAACGCTGCCGAAACCTGGAGAACTTACAGTCCGACTGTCACCGCAAGATGGAGGAGACCGAGAGAGAGCTGTGCTCCTGCCAACTGCTCATCTCACAGGTCAGAACACACACACACACACACACAGGGGCGGACTTAACCATTAGGCAAAGGTCGGTAACTGGCTTGGGCCCCGAGCTACCCCCGAAATATCTCATTCAATTATGCTTTAGTCGTTTGTTTTTTTCCTTTTGGCAAATTATATATTTCTAAAAAACGCATTAAATCATTAGTTTCGCAGACAGAAGGGGCCCCCCCACCTCACCTCACTGCATTGGACTATTCCATTATCTCACTTGACTTTCTGTGTGCGAAGCCAAGCGGTGCTGAAAAAGCAGGACGCGGGAGGAAAGCAAAGCGGTTTCAGCAAAATTGCAGAAGGCAACAAACTTTTTTGTGATGCCCGCTGAAAATGACAACAATGCTAACAATAAAGTCCATGGCTGTAGCCAGCTATGAAGTCACCGAAGTCCGGACCTCTGCCATTTTCTTTACATTCAAAAATAAAATGTCAAGCTCTCTAAATGATTAATCAGCCGTTTAAACCACCTCATATGAGGGCGCG